TTCCCCACACAGCCTTTTCAAATGCCACTAAATTAGAAGTGAAAAATAGGATTTGGAGAGCACATTTAATGTAAGTAAAGAGATTAAGGGGTTTATCTGTCAACACTGGATTCCAGATGTTTTTAAATTAAAAGAAAAAACAGGAGACTAAGAGAGATGTTAATTATAAGCTCTTTTCTTCCTTTTAAAATATTCTAAAATATTGCTTAAAATACCTAACTTTTTCTGTAGGTTTTGGAGTGGGTTTAAAAAATATCAGCATACATTTCAGACTAAACTTCAGTGTCTGCACTGACGCTTGAATATGTTTCTTCTGGTGCATAATATCAGAGTTTCTTTGCATAACCAACATTCACAGAGGAGTTATTTCAAAGAAATCTCTGTGTATGGATTCACCAGTGCCAAAACTCAAGCTCAGAATGATATTGAATTCCACTGGTTTTCATCCTTGACTCTCAATTTCCATCCCTAGTCCACTTCTAGGAGCAATGAAATCATGGACCTACAGCAAGTTCCTGTGACACAGTGAATAAGTTTTAAAAAATAATCTGGGAAGGGGATGGGACTAATTTAAAAACAAGCAAATCTGAATAGTGGTTAAATTCAGAATTAAACCCATTATAAAAATAGGAGCTGGCCTCTTCTGTTTTACCCATCTTCCATGTGGAGTATATTTAATTTAATGTTCCTTGGGGCTGTACAAGTGACTTCTGAGATTTACTTGATCAGTTTGTGCTGAATTCTTACTGCCAATTTCTCCAAGAGGAAATCTTTATTAATGCCCCATATCTAATACAGATTCTGCTCCTGTAGGCTTCATATCCTCTGAAAGGCAGAACAGAAGAGAGGACTGAAAGGTTACTTCACTGAGATTTCCTCATGGAGATCCCTATGTCAGGCACATCAGATGGCACTTACCACCTTCCTCTTGGACATGAGTGCCATCAATTAACTTGGTAAAATGGTGGGGAGATCTTGTGCCAGCTGAGAATTTCATAGCTGAAAGGATCTGATGCTTCAGCACTAGGACAGATGGCTTTGGATAAAAATAAAATAACTCAAACCAGTGGGTTCTTCTAGCACAGTAATTCCACTGAGACTGGGTGTTCTGAAAGAGCAATCATTAATTCTGTGACAATACCAGGAGATTTTGAGCAATTAATGACCTGGTACAAAAGAGCTGAGAAGTTAATGTGTTCGGGGGTTTTTATTGCAATAATGAATTTTAACAGGAAAGAGCCCATTTTATTTCCAAACTCTAGATTTGGCTGCTAATTTGGGGTGTGTAAAGAGAGATAAAAACTGATCCATTATAACATTCTGCAGAGATTATACGGAAGACAAAGACATAATCCCTGACATATGTTCCCTATGAACACATGCCTTGAAAAATTTTGGGGGTTCTCATAGGATTTTAAGATGTTTTCTAGATTTCTACTCACACAAGTCAAGCCTGTTAGCCAGACAAGAACAGTGAGAAAGCTGAACATTTCCATATGCTGGGCCATTGGAGCCTGGTGATGGAGAGACTGAATCCTGCCCCTGATGCACAGTTCATTGGGTCACTATTGCAGTGAGCTTTCTTAAACCAGGCCAGTTTTACTGACTGTAGCCCCACAGATGGTTTATTTTATCCAAATTAGTGATGTTTATTGGAAAAAGCCTCACCATGTCTCTTTCTACCAGAGAATTAACAATGTTCACTTGAATTGGGGATATATTTCTTAATACATTTAATATAAATCCTGCTGGCTCTGCTACTTGTTCCAGAATC